CATGTATATAGGAGGGCGTTTAGGGGTTTTCAATTTTTTTTCCGTTTGATTTTTTTCTATAGTGGTACATTCATGTGTACTATTATGCTACAGTGGTACATTCATGTGTACAATTATGCATGTATAATGTACCATTAAGTATAAGTTGTCTTAATAGTACTTTTTGTGTACTATTATGCACGTAGTGATGATACTTTTTACCATTATATTTTCCACCAAAATTCCTTCTACTTTGTCCCACTTTCATGTGACAAACTTCAACTTAATTTCAAGAATGTCATCCTATATGTTTGCTAACATATAGGTGCTATGCGCCTATAGTTATTCCTTCGTATTATCTTCGTTTTATAATAGATAGAAGATGTATTGTTTTGACTTTTATACTTTCTAAGAAACCACTTTGACCATCAAGTTATATATACAATAATTAATAAAAAAAATAAAGAAAAATTAAGGGAAATTTTCAACGATAGCCCTCTCCTATTGCTTATTCCCAATGGTAGCCAAATTATTTTTGGATTCTCAATGGTAGCCTTCAACTTGTTAAAAGTTGCAACTGTGACCTTATTAAGTCTAAACCATTAAATATCCGTTAACTTTAACTATTGTCACCATTTTCTCTCCCTTAACCATTTTCTCTCTCCTTCCTTTCATCTTTCATGGCAGCCACCTCCAACCCCAAAACCCTCCACCCGCAACACCCTCCACTCCAACAACCACCACATCTCCGTCCCCCCTCCACCGCAACAACCACCCCTTCTCCATCCCCCTCCACTCAACCGCAACAACCCCCCGCAGTCCCACGAAATTGGCCACCAACCCCAAAACCCACCATGAAATCAACAACCCACCAAAACCCCACCCACGAAAACACCCCCATGGAACCTCCGCCCACCAAAACCCCACCCAAGAAACCCGCAACTCACAAAATTACCACCTACACCTACTGAAACCCCTCTTGCACAAAATACCGTTATGAAAACCCCACCCACCTTAACCCCTCCTAAGACACCCCCAACCCCACGAAAATCACCACCTATATATGTTAGAGTAGTCTTTATAGTAGGTTTTGTGAATGATGGGAAATTAGTCCCACATTGGTAGAATAGAAGTTGGTTATATAGGTTAGTCTATATAGCTAAATGTTGGATGGAAGTCCCACATTGGTAGAATAGAAGAAGTTAGCTTGTTCAATTCTATTTAACTTGTTGTTGGGAAGAAGCTCCCACATTAGTTGAATAGAGGATATTAGCTTACTCTATTCTATTTAACTTGATGTTAAGAAACTCCCACATTGGTTAAATAGAAAAGTTTAGCTTGAAACTAGTCTATAAGTTACTCTATTTTATTTAACTTGATGTTGGGAAGAAGCTCCCACATTGGTTAAATAGAAAAGTTTAGCTTGGAGCTAGTCTATAAGTTTAATATTTGGAGCATAACAAAAATGTTAACGTGTGTCATGGTTTATGACCACGGACCCGATCAGGCGGGCTTTGCCCGGTCGAGCGCGAACATATACTTAGAAAAATAATATTTTCTCGCCCGATAGGGCTAAGTTAGTCCGATCGGGGGCGCGAGAGCAAACTTATTTTCTAAATATAGATGGCCAGACCGGGCGGGCTTGGCCCGATCGGGCGAGCTTAAGCGATAAGTTTCCTACGGTTAAATTGATTAGGATAATAGTGACTATTCATTAAAAGTCAGATTATCTTAATTAATTATTTTTTTTTTGGGGAAATAGTGACTCTTGGATTACAAAGGCTGTTCATTATAAATTTTAATGGCTCCAAAAATTATAACTTACTTTTACTTTTATCTTCTTCTTCCTTTTCTATTCTAATTGTTCTTAAAGTGTTCTTAGGGAGTTCAATTACATTGCTTTAATTGATCTCGAACTTAGGGAAAATCCTGGAAGCATATTAACCGGTAATCCATAGCAATCATAGTGGGGGGTTAAAATTGCTTTAAGGACAGTGTAAACACGTCCCTAATTCTTCATCCCCATAATTATTTTCTAACAATATATGCACAAAAACCCCATCCACGAAAAACACTCCCACGAAAATGAAGAACCCTGTAATTTGATTGAAATAAAAAAGGGGGAGAAATGAAGAGCACTTCAAAGAATTAAACAATTAAGAGTTTGGAGGTTGATGGACATTTACAAATTTATCAATTAATGGTGATGAAGGTGAAGAGATAAATCTATGGAGTTTGGAGGTTGAAGGAAGAGGAGAGATAAGGAGGATGGAGGTATTTGTGGGGGTATTTTTCTAGGTTTTTTTTTATTATTGGAATAGTTAACTTGTTTAGTACTCCGTAGACCATAGTAAGTTAGATTTAACAGAAAATCATCATTAAGGTTACAGTTGTAAAAATGTGAAAGTTTAGGGCTACCAAAGATAATCGGAAAAAAAAAATTGGTTACCATTGGAAAAAAGCAAAAGTAGAGGGCTACCATTGAGAATTTCCCAAAATTTAATTATATTTTAAAATATGTGTTGAAATCAATCCAACAATATATTAAAAATAATATTTAATTTTTACATATATATGTATAAAGTCTATGTAGTTAAAGTTAATAAATATATAATACAGATTAAAAAGTCAAAATATTATATCTATTGTGAAATGAAAATAAATTAGTTCAATTCTCTATCCATCCATTTTTGTTTTTTACATTTGGAATCTTTATGTGATAGAATAATAATCAAATTGTAAAACCATAAGGAATAGGGAAGTAGTTTATTTGTATACATATGATGACTTAAAGGTACATGAAAATAATAACATTGAATACATCAAAAACATATAGAATAGACAAGTAAAGAGCAAAGGACAGCTTATGCATTCGATCAAAAACTTGGGACACCAAGTTCTCAAGAGTTATCGAAAAAACTTAAGAACGTATATGATATGTATATTAAGGTAAAATGGCGATATATACCTGATATAGTATGAATGCAAGCCATTAACATAATGGCCGCGACAACGAAGTTGATGGAAGAAGCTTTCCCCATTGTGATTTAAGATGCTAAGTACTGTTGTATTATGTATTTGATTCTAATGTTTGTTGCTGCTTCTTCTGCTCACCGTTTCAATATTTATAGTACTCCCTAATGCGCTAAAAATATGTACTTTGAAGATTTTTTATTTGTATATTTGTGTGATATGATAACTTATTGTAATGTCTTCACTTTGTGGTAGGTGTTAGCCATAATTGGCATGTACAGCTTGCGCAGTTGCTTCTAATGACTTGCCATTTTTGTTGTTTGTTGCTTCCATGTCTTTTGATTTCATTATTCACAATATCTCATAATTTAATTATTATTAATTATATTCTAATCAAGAAGTTTGTTGGGGATTCAACAAAATCCAAAAGACATGGCAGCAACAACATCCATGAAAGTCATGCATCTCAACATATTAGATTACTTTACTTAAGATTAATTGATTGGCAATTAGTTGTCATGTATATGCTTCAAATGTACATAGCAGTAATCAAGCCCCCAAAGAAGAAGCTAATGATGCAATTTAATATTACTACAACTGATCATAACATTGCGTAAATAGATTGTTATAAATACCCAACATTGGATGAACCTTTAATCATATCGACATTCAACAATATATAAGTTTGAAGTGCATTTTCACATACTCTATTCATCCTTAAAACACATCCAAATGGCTAGTGTTCACATAAAATGTTCTGTTATGGCTATGATGTTCGCGATTCTTTTGCTTACTACATCAGGTTTCTCCTCTCTAAAAGCATTAATTAGTTTTAGTTTATGAAATACATAGTAATGTATCTATGGATTATTATATATATATATATATAATATCTTGATTAATGACTTGTTATTCATGCTTTGCTTTCAGTTCCAACATCGGAAGGTATAAGGCCGTCGTCTTCTTCCAATGAACCAATAACATGTCAAGCTAAAGGCCAACTATGTCCTGGAGGAGGTCCATACACTTGCTGTAAAGGACTAAGTTGCATTCGTTCTGAAGATATAGCTGGTGTTTCTGTAGCCGGTGCAGGTCTTTGTCTCTAAGATATATCGAGCAACCCTACTACCATTTTACCTGCACTTTTTTCATTAATTGTATTACAACCTCGAACTCTTTGATGATTATCATTTAAGTTTTCAGAAATGTTTCCAATTTAAGTTATATGTATTTTATGATTGACTGGACTAGTTTGAGTTGATCAACCTCGGTCTAGTGAGTGTTATACTCTGCATCAAGGGTTTCAACTTTAACAATTCAATTCAAAGTTGATTGAGAAATCTTCAATATTATTATTACTGCGTACATATCTTCACCTGTTACGTACTGCAGAAATACCAGTTACGCATTGGTTAAATGATTTGCATAAGATTAAAGATTAAAATATAAAGGAAGGGTGCGGTAAGATTGATGGATATCTCAATCCAATAACAAATTCTAATTAGTTTTGTGTATGATCTTGCATCAGCAACTGTCTATGTCAGTAAAACAGAATGCCTGTAAGCTCAAAACTGTACAAATCTTTGATGCTAGAGACATTGCTGGTAAAAGACGCGAACATAAAGAAAATAACTGACCAAGACTTGATATATGTATATATTAGAGAATTGATCAAAATGATTTTGGTATGCTCAATTGTAGAACTCGGAACTTGACCATATAAATTTGGTGTCAGAACACCAGCATAGCAAAATGAAAGTCAAGAGTCTTTTAAAAAAGAAGAATAAATCCACATTATTTTTCATGATACTTGATTGTACGTTATATGTGAATACATAAAACTTCTTGATACAAAATACACCATACCGTGATCCAGCCTTTCGAATCATAACCTATCATCTGATACACCAGTTCACACAAAGTGCAGTGAAAGGAGTAGATCATGGTTGCAGAATGACTCTGATCTGTCAAAATATGCACAACACAAAAGGAGTCTAAAGTATGCAATGAGCTTATTGAAAACAATGAGACTAGGATTAGAACCTGATTCACACGGAATCAATTCCATTGATGTGGATTTCATCAAGGTAAACTTCAGGCACATGTGAAATATGAGAGTAATCTTCGCCTGTATATTTTGCACATCTTTTACTGAGATGGGGGCAGTCCTTAATCAGAAGCTTCTGCAGACAATTGAGCTGACCAAATCCCTCGGGTATAGCTATTAAATTTAAGCAACTGTAAATGAGAATCCTCCTGAGGGAAGTGAAAATCTGCAACCAATTTGGAAGCATTGCTAAACTTATACAGCTATCAATCCAGAGATATTGTAAAGAATTTGCAGCAGATTGGATTCCATCAGGCAAATGTTTTAGCTTTGTAACCCCGGTAATTTCCAAGGTTCGAAGGCTTTGGAGCCCACATAGGTTGCTTCCTTTCTCCAAATCGATCTCTTGACAATCACGGATGACTAATGTCTCGAGGGAGACAAGGTGTTTCATGCTATCCGGAAGACAAGTCAATCTAGGACAGTTTACAATGTGAAGTTCTAGCAGGGATGTATGGAATTGAATAGACGATCCATTCCATAGTGATGTTAACTCTTCACATGAATATAATTCTAGTCTCCCCAAAGTACTTAACCCACATAATTTGGTGCTAGTTAAGCTCTCTTGGTTTGTAGTCACAGAGAAGTACCTTAGGCTTACCAACTGATCGATATTCCTAGGTAGCTCTTGTAACATCTCACAACCAGGCAGAAACAAAGACTGTAGATTCAATAACTTGCATATTGAACTTGGAAGAAATTTGATGATAGGGTTGTATGACAGGTCAAGATAACTGAGATGCTTCAAGTTCCCAATTGACCTCGGCAACTCCTCAAAACTACTCTGATGAAAATCTAATACACGCAAGCATCTAAAGTTGTGTATAATACCTTCAATAAATGACCTGCTAACATAACCCATTGCATAGCCAAATCTGAATGTTCGAGCCTTCTTTGCTCTGAGTAGCTCTTTCGGAACACCCTTGTCTGACAAAACTTCACCTCCATCATATCCCCATACAATATGTCTGCATATCTCTGAAACGTTAAGCTGATTGCTAGTTACAACAGCTATCTCTTGGCCAACAATATCAGTTGCCAAATCATGGAATAGATCATGCATTCTAAATTCACTTACAGTTTCAGTAAACACAATAAATGCATCCTGAAGAAGAGATCTTGACAGTAGTTCTTCACAGTACTTGTATCCGACTGATTCCAACTCTTCGTTGTTGGATCCCCCTTGCAGAAGGCCAAGTGCACTCCACAAACATGATACTATCGGTGGATTAAGCTTCTTATCCTTCACAAACAATGAACAATAAGCAAAACACGCTTTCAAATGATATGGGAGTTTGTTATAGCTCATTTTCAGAGCTTGTTTGATGTCATTATGTTGTGGATGTAGGTTCACAAGGTTATTTGTTTCAACAATCCGCCTCCATTCTTTCTCATCTCTCTCACTGCGTAACAGGCTCGCAAGTACCTTGACAGCTAGAGGAACCCCGCCACACTTGACAGCAATGTTCTTCCCAATTCTAGAAAGATTAGGATATCTTTCCTCTTCACCACTCTTAAATGCCAAATGCTTGAATATGGACCAACATACATCATTAGAAAGACTATCTAAACAATATGGCTCAACATTTCCAACTACCGATGCTACCATTTCACTTCGCGTAGTGACCAAAATCACACTCCCTTTTTCACCTATGGCTAACAAATTTTCCAAGTCTCGCCATACTTTGATGTCCTCAATCCACACATCATCAAGCACAAGAAAATATTTTCGACTATCTAATATCTCAGAAAGCCTTTCATGTAACTGTCTTATGCTGAGGTTTGCTGTGTTTTCATTACTAACAGAACTCAAAATTTCTTCTATTGTCTTTTGCAGATCAAAATTTTCAGAGACACAAGCCCACAACTTAACATCAAAGTTCTTAGTCACCCACTCATCATTGAAAACAAGCTTAGCCAACGCTGTTTTCCCAATCCCTCCCAATCCAACTATGGGAAGCACAAACAGCCTACTAGCATCTCCTACACAACTACTCGCTAAACGTCTAAAAATTTCACTTTTAGCTTCATCCCTACCAATGATTTCTGTTTTCTTCACATAAGCAAATGCATCTAAGGGATTCCTCTCAATACCGTGTGTTTCGACAAGATAATGATCATCCAACCCAAGATCCCTTCTATTAGCAGCTATGTCATCAAAACATTGTAAAAGGTCCCTAATCTTTTGACTCCAATAAAAATGACTCAAAACAGGATTTGAAGACGAAAGATAGTACCTGACTTGCTGAAGAGCATGACCCTTGTTCACTCTCCGCCGCAATAAATCAGTCCCAACTTCATCCAAGAGATCATCAATATCATAAACAATAGTTTTAAGATCTTTCAACCAGATTTTGATGGCTTCACTGTCATACTGCTTTTTCTCTGCATCATGCAGGACTGCACGAATAGCAATCACCTTGTTCTCGATCTTCTTCAGATCGTTTCGAACATGTTGTGCTGCTAAAATCCCTTCAGTAGTATAACTGCAGGTAAGATCACCTGCAAAAGAAGCAATCTTTCCTAGAATTGTTTTTGTGACAGCCCACAGAAGTGCTTCTGACATTTTAATGATTACAGAAGATTAAGTTAGAAGCCGAGGATTCAAGGATTTTTTAGAAGAAGCTGAGGATGTTACTGAGGTATGGATATGATTTCATCAGGATTGATGGATCTTGACAATATGCTTCTTTATGTCAAAGAACAGCAAAAGTCAATGTTCTTCAAAGTCAACAAAAGTTGCTTAAGCTGAGTACTTGTAACACCCTTCATAGTATAGTTTGATTTCGGCTAGTTTTTACTAATTTTTACTTATATGAACTTTTTTTGCTGAACCAAACATGTTGCTTTTTTTTTACTAAACTAATCCAAATGCTTTCTAACATAATTGATTGGTTTGAACAAATCCACTTTAGTTTTGATTAAGATTTATGTGGGATAATTAGAGTTATGTTACTTGTGTAAGAAATATGGGTTTTTGTTTGTTGGTATAAAATCTCGAAAAACCTTCTTCATGATATAAACCAATTAAATTAGTCGACATTCACAGCAAATACAGATTACAACAAATACAGATTGATGTCAAGTCTAACTTATTTTTGGATTGTAGTATCAGAAATGGGTTGGGCCACAATGCCACATATTATAGCCATACATTTCCACCGACGAAATTTCAGAAATTTGTCGTTGCCTTATAAACCAAAAATAAAATCAACGGCATTGGTACCAGTCTACCAGCCAAACACAGTTGACCATATCAACTGTTTGATGGTTTGAATGTTTAATTTATGTGGGAATAATAAAACCAATAAGATTAATCACATTTATGGAATACTACAAAAAAAGACCAAATTCCCTATTAAAAATATAGGGAAAAAGGAATTTTATTAAGTCAAATTCAAGAGCTAATATGTCAAGCTCCTGTATTGCTTGATCGATTATTGTCTGATTTGTTACATCACTTGAGATTTGAGAACACATGTAAGTACTTACACGCATAATATATTTTCAACATGGTTTTATTTTTGATGTAGCGAGAGTCACGAGGAAAAATAATATAAACCGGATTTGGTCCTAATTCTTAAGTACAACTCTTTAAGATTTTGATCAACTAAGCTAATTAATCATCAGCTAATAGACTTTCAATGCACGTTTTCATAATAGATTTTAAAAAGAAGAAATATCATTGTAATCCTTACTTGTTGAGTAAATATTTAGTTGGTTTGGTTTGAACAAAACGTTCAAGGAAAGGAGTCCCACCTAAAAACAGTTTCAATGCTTCATATCATGCATAATAAGATCTATTTGACATAGAAATATTGGTCCATCAAGAATTTCCAGGATTCTGCATCTGTTACGGCATTGACGAAACTGCTCAATTTTAAGAATGTTAGATCAACCTATAAAATGCAAAATTAGCATCCAAGAAGAGAAATGTTAGATCAACCTATAAAATGCAAAATTAGCATCCAAGAAGAGAATTAAATGAGAGAATCAAGATTGGCTTAGCGGTGGAAGATTTCCCTTTTACTCCTATGAGAGAAGCAAAAAAAAATAAAGAGAGAGGATAAATGTATGTAATGTAGGGTGAAGGAAGATCTACCACTTTTTTCTCACGCATTTATTTTAAATATGTATTTTGTAATATCAAGACAGAAAAAAAATTCTAAATATAGACACCAGATGAGATCCAATTTTTTTTCGTTTTCCTACTAATTTGCTTATGAAAATCTCAAACAACTGTATTCATTCTATAATCTAACCAGTTCTTTCGAAAAGCCGTTAAAAACAGGTAAGAGTAAAATAATTACATTGAGAAAATTTAGGCCTTTGATTTTCCAATTCTGCAAATTTGCAAAAAATCAGGGCAATTGTTTTTCCAGAATCCATTTTTGTATGGGTTTGCAAAGTTGGGACAAACTTGGGGAAGGGGCGGAACGAGGGAAGAGAGGGGGAAGAAACCAGTAGAACAACAAAATTACTGGAATAAAACTTCTCTCTTCCCTGAGAAAACCGGAAATTTAACCTTTCGATCCTTCCTTTCGCTTCCCTTCCCCACCTCTAAGGATCTGTGGGGGTTCACCGCCTCCTCCCGTGGCCTATTACCAACATTGCGGTTGATGACTTGGAGAATAAATTTCCATAACCATACATTGTTTGGCATTGTCTAGCAATGAGTTGTTTTTCATGTTGCGGAACACTAGCCAAAAAAAATGATGGGAAAGAGATACCTGCAGAAGAGCAGCAAAATGAAACGGAGGGAACCGGTGGTGAACCTGTTGTTAAGCCATCAGTCGCAAGTAAAAGAGCATCAAAAATGGCATCAATAAGGGCCTCTTTGAGGGCTAGCGTCAAGGAAATCCTATTAGTCAAATCCAAATTGTCATTCGCAAACATATCTTTCAAAACAGGTGATAAATGGCTTCTCTTTCATACATTTCCGCGTCTTATTCATGATTATGTTAGGCAAGAACATTTTGGGCTATGAAATTTTGAGCCATGTCTAACAGAAAGTCACAAGAATTGTATCAGATATATTTTGTGAATGTGCTAAGGTCTAAGGACACTTTTCTTTCTGTATCAGACAGCAGCAGGCACAGATACATCCATGAAGAGATAGCTAAATATGGGAAGGGGAACATCACCGCCAAGATATTCACCTATAGGGAACTATGTGATGCAACTAACAACTTTAAATCTGAGAATTTACTCGGCGAGGGAGGTTTTGGTAGGGTTCACAAGGGATACGTAGACAGCTTAAAGCAGGTAATACATTTCTATCCCTCCCCTTCTTTGTGCACCTGTTCAGCAACAAAACAAAAATGACATAAAATGCATTATGTCTGATTCAGGTTGTCGCAGTAAAACAGCTAGATAGAAATGGATTCCAAGGGAACAGAGAGTTCCTTGTAGAAGTTTTGATGTTGAGCCTTCTTCACAATCCTTACCTTGTGAATTTGGTAGGATATTGTGCTGAAGGCCCTCAAAGACTTTTAGCATACGAGTTCATGGAAAATGGATCCCTTGAGGATCACCTTCTTGGTAATGCCAATGTCTGAACTCTGAACCCTAAAATGAATGAATAATGTTGCTGGCTTCCTGCCTTTCCATATCTGACCTACCAAATTATTTCTTCTGTTTCTTGGCTTCCCCTTTTTTTCTACAGAACTAAAACCAAACAGGAAGCCGCTAAATTGGAAGACCAGAATGAAGATAGCAGCAGGCGCAGCAAAAGGTCTGGAGTACCTTCATGATATTGCCAACCCGCCAGTAATTTACAGGGACTTCAAAGCGTCAAATATACTACTAGACAAAAACTTTAACCCGAAGCTCTCAGATTTTGGCCTGGCAAAGTTAGGCCCCACAGGAAACGAGACCCACGTGAGTACAAGGGTTATGGGAACATATGGCTACTGTGCCCCAGAATATGCATCAACAGGCCAACTGACAACAAAGTCTGATGTCTACAGCTTCGGGGTTGTGTTCCTTGAGATCATCTCCGGGAGGAGAGTCATCGATACTAACAGACCAAGTGAAGAGCAGAATCTAGTGCTTTGGGTAATGTTAAAAATTACCATTACTTTGGTATGATTTTTATTGATAATTCAACTTTGATTAACTTGCTGAGGTTAATCCATGCTATGGATCATCCAGGCTAACAAGTATTGGAATCTTTGTCAATTGCAAGCATCATTATGTATAGCATAACAATGTGTTGTCAATCCTCATTAGTTAATAGAAGCAGCAAAGACATCTAGCCATTCAAAAGAGGGAAACTTAGACATATCTGTAGACACCCGTTGCGCTAAGAAAAAGGGATTCACACAAGGAAATAGCACAGAGATTAAGGAGATAGGAAAACAGTAGCAAAAGGCTATATTCTTACAACCAATGCTACAAATGATACATCTAAGCTGCAAGCATGGAAATGCATCAAAACTAGCTTATTATTTATTAGTAACTGACTAGGTCAAATACCACAGAGTATAATATAGAAGTTCTTGAGTAACAGATTTTCTGCAAATTTTATTGTAATTCAAGTCTACTTATGAAAAGCTATCCCAGCTAGCATATCATTTAAAATAAAAATAAAAGAGTTTACATCTTCATCAAATTGCCAAAAATAGGTCCCTGCATCTATTGGTATAACACCTTTTTATGTTACATGAACAGATGAGCTTACAGCAGGTTCAACTTATACAATAACTATCAACTTTCAGCTAAAACTTGTTTGCCAGCTAGATGTGCTAAACTTACAACCTATTTCTGTGATTGCAGGCACAGCCTTTGTTCAAAGACAAGAGTAAGTTTCACTTAATGGCCGACCCTTTACTTGAGAGTGACTATCCAATGAAGAATCTCTACCAAGCACTAGGAATTGCAGCTATGTGTTTACAAGAAGAAGCTAGCACACGCCCTTATATCAGTGACGTGGTTATTGCCCTTGAATATCTATCTACAGAAAAATCTGTGAACTTGGAGGATTATGAAGAGGAAGGAGATGACAATGATGAAGCAAAGGATGGGAGAGAAAGTGACCAGCCAGGCAACGGCACAGCAAAAGAAGGAAAAAAAAGCTGACACAATGACATCTTCAGGTGCTAGATGTTTGAGGTTATGCTACAAATCTACAATTGTACAGAAACTTCCTGACTGTCTTCTATTCTGACAGAATGAACTAGTGGAAACTCAATCTGCTCTTGTGCTTGGAATAGCCTTTCGAATCTTATCCTCTCAAGGCAAAACTGTGGTCAGATTATTGTACAAGTTGTATATGTTCTTCAAATGTGAAAGACCTTATTTCTAATCAAAGAACTTTCAACCTTTGGCTCTGCTCGTATTCAGCCAGCAAGATTGCAATAGAATATTAAAATTTAATACATACAGGAGAGAGGAATTCCACTGATCTAACGTATTTCTTGTACCACCACTGGTTTTTATCGATGTACTCACTTTCCATTTTAAGGCATTTTATTTGATGTTGCCAACTTCTACTTTATTCTATTCTTGGCAATCAATATTTACCATCTTTTTTACAACAAACTACACCTTTTTCACCTTCTCTTACTTAATTCACTTTTTTGTTATACCTACACACTTTTTTGCTCTCTACTTTATTTACCTTTTTCTTACATTCACTCACCTCTCCTAGAAACAATAATCTACAGTAACTGGGTACATTAATAGAAAATGGATGGAGTTATATTAGCACCTGAACTGCACAGATTCTCCTAAAACAAAGTAAAATTCATAAATAGCTTTAGATTTACCGCCCAGGTATCCATGTCTGGATCATAATATAACAAAGAAACAACAGCAGAAACTGACAATCTACTTCTAAAAAAGGAAAAGTAAGCATCTGATGAAGAGAACAGTTGAGCTGTTCAATGATGAAAACAGAATGTAATTTCAAGGACATCAGTGATCAGCCTGAATTCAGAAAATCAAAAGGCATTTGACATTTGAACACGATCAAATCAAACAATTTCAGAATGACAAATGCAATACAAGCAACAATTTTTTTACAATAATTTCTTATATCATTGAACTGTGAACACCATTCATGGAGTTATACAATAACCAACACAATATATGCATTTTAAAAACCAAAAATTACGAGTAAGAAGTGAAAAGATAGTGAATATTTATATGACTATATGGAAATTGCAATCAGTCACATCAATGGTTGATACACTTGATAGTAAAATACAAGCTTTCCGGTTTAGTGGGTACCTCAAGCGCTTTTGCCAAGGTGAAATTTTGCTGGATGATGGCATCTAATCACTAAACTTCATAAAAGAATTTTTGAGAATGACCAGGTAGAAAGTGCACATGTTTGACTACATGCAAATTACCATCTTATTTTAGCTACTAGCTCCCAGGCTGTTGGAGATCAATGTCCCAGGCTGAAGCCAATTGCAGCATGAGTTGATCTGGAGTTGCTCCTTCCCATTCCTCAGGAAGCTCTATGGAAGAAGAAGCATCATGCAAACTAAACAAAAGGTCCCTCTTCACTTCAATAGGAATATTAAATATGTCGGGTCCATTTTCCACAACCAAATCCAGCAACTGCAGTGCAAAATCAATGTGCAATTAGCACAAGGAAATTTCATGCTGAGAAATTTGATGACATTGCTAATGCAAAAGTTCAAAATCAGAAAATAACAAATGACAAAAGACCTTTTGTTCCTTCAAAAGACAGATAGCACATCACATTTTTTTTTAGAGTAAGAGCACACAACATTTGCCACCAACTCTCATATTCATTTGTTATTGATTTCCGTATAGCTAGGAAGACAGTGAATGGTAAACAGATGAGCCAGACACAGAAGTTGAAGAAATTAAAACCAAACTGCCTGAGATCAAAATAAATGATGATGCATTAAACTGTAAGTGACTTTCTGGCCGCACAACTGAGCACTATCTATCATATAACCGACCTAAAGACAATTAAAACCCAACCTCAAAACCAAGTTATGCACCATTTGTAACATTGTCAGAAATAAATACTGTACTCAAGCAACACATTGGACCAACAATTACTCCTCTAAAGGCCTAAGAAACTCCACATTAAAGACCTAAGAAAACTCCACATTCAAGAATCATTCCCCACTGTTTATTACCATAGTTATCCCAACTAGATGACATACACGTTCCCTTCAAAGGTACAAGAAATGTGTGTCTGAGCAGACCATCAAATTAACAACAAAACAGTGACTGCACTATTCAAGCTTCACTCCACCCAATCACGACCTCACCCTCTTGCCACTATTCTTCTCTATCCTTAAATATCCTCATTGATTTTGAATAGTACTTGAGATAGTAGCAGTTTCTAGCACTAGGAAAGTATCACCAAACTTTAACTATTGTCTCTAAAACAACCATATAATTCATCAATTAAGTTAATGATCAACGGAAAAAAAAAAAAAAAAAAAAAAAAAAAAAAAAAAAAAAAAAAAACAAATTTAAGTAGTGGACAAGATCAGAAGAACCACAGCCTGAATGTGGCAGAGTCACAGAGTGCAGGAAGGTATCCAGACTCACATATAATGAGATAAAAGAGGCAGCAATGTTGAGAAGATAGAATGTCACAAAACACTTGGAAACAGTCAGAGAAGACCACCATACTACATCTATCAACAGACATTTATGTCCATTGGAGCAAGCAAGCAATCAGTCTAGCTATCGCATCGAAAAAACAAAAGATTTTTACGCGGAATATAGAAACAAGAAGTTCAGATTGGGCCGATACAAGAAATGTTTGAACCATACCTGTTGAACCCAAGACAAACTTAAATCATATAAGTTCTGCTCCACCACGAATGGCATGATAGCATTCATAACCTCAACTGCCACCTCATTGGAGAGTTGATCAAACACAGGACCAGATTTATCCATGAGCTTCACAAGCAAAGAATCATCCCCTGTTGATACAACCTCAGCATACGCCGTATCCATATCACCCACTTGAACAGCATCCATTGCATTGCTCCAAGAAGTCCAAACAGGATCACGTTCGGGTTCATTATTGTCACAGCCCATTGCCTCCAGTTCTCGGACAGCTACTCTTGTTGGCCGTACTGTTGCGCTGTCTTCCCCAGCACCTCGAATTGCGGCTAGCGTGGCCTCGTCCTTTGAAGCCTGCCAAACACTTCTTGCTGAGGGACCTTCACCAAGTCTGACATTTCCAGTCCCTTTGTCCCAAGCTCTACGAGCACTAAACTGCTCGTTCTCATGCTCGGATCTTGGAGATCTGCCATCAACAGAATTGCTGCCAGCATCTCTTCTATTACCAGGTTGACCATTTTTAGAAGCACCATATGAATGAAAGTCCCAGGGCTCCTGATGTTCAGATCTCCAAGGTCCTGCCCTACCCCTCATGCTTGGAGACACTCCTTCAGAAGCAGTAAACCGATCACCAAATGGAAGCCTCCCTCCATAGTCAAGGTAGCCATTATACCTGCCAGGACGATTGGAAGATCCATCATAACCAGACCGAAAGTTACCAACCCGCCTGCTTGATGATATGGACAAATCATGTGCCATATCTTCAACCACCCTCTCCAGACCCCGTACTCTATTCTCCAGAGTCACCATGCTGTCGTGTGATCCACCCATGAACTCCTAACACATAAATAACCTTTAGTCATAAGTTTATAACAGATCCATAACCTAGAGTAAATATGCAGCTAAAAATACGCACCTGCAACATATTCATCACATGAGCCTGTTGTCTCTCTAACTGCAGCAACTGCCTCTGAATAGCCAGCCAATTTCCCTTACCGTTCATGAGAGATCCATCAGTTTGCCCATCGACTTTAGAAAAACTAAGACCCCTATCTTCAAGGCCAGATGTTCCTGGTCTCAAATCTTTCCCACTTACCACATCATCAACACATTTGACTCTCATATAACCATCATTCTCTTGTTGTCTAGAGGGTACGTTGGCAGGCATTTTATCTGTGCTATCCTTGTTTTCTCCTATGTTTATCTCTACCTCCCCACCATTAGCATTTGAGGGATTAAGACATTTACGTGGAACAACAACTTCTACTGGCAAATCATCTGAACCTCCTTTTTCAAGTTTTTGAAAGAATTCTGGATTCAAATTTTTATCAGAGAATGCAGGCAACTTTTTCTTCAGAATTCCAACAGCTTTATCTGAATAGTTCCCGATCTTTGTTTTCCCAACAGAATCAGATAATGTGGCATTATTTGACAAATCACGGAGAGAAGACTCTTCATTCCTCTGGTCAGATTTCATATGTTTCTGCTTATCACTATCTGGCAAATCATTTCCAGTGACTAAAGAATTGTCATAGAACAGATAGAAGTAATCAGCACATAAAATTGTACAATGAAAAAATGTGATCACTTTAAGACTACAATGAAAGAAATGTGATCACTTAAAGACTACAAAAAACTGTACAATAAAAATTTTGGACCTTTCCTATCGTCCGAGGCCACATCTACAGCCTTTCCTGACAGCTTCTTCCAATGCTGTAGCGCTTCTGTCATGCTCTCTCTAACAGGCTTTATCTGGTCATATAAGATAAAATAGATGGCAGAGTGTTACAAAAAAAGATTTTAAAAAAATACAAAAACTTATAAAAGAGCAAAAATATACATGAAGGTACAAGGAAAGAGTCAAATTCAGAATGCAGTGAAAGCTCAGTAAAGAAAACTTAGATAACACTGCTAAAAACACTACAAAATGAATTCAACAGCAAAACAATTGCGATGCAGAAACAATTGCAACATTGCTCCAATTAGGAGAGAGAGGAACCTAGGCTTTAACTTGTTCATAAGCTACTCGATCTTGTCTCAGTCGAAACTCGGCTGACATAATGTCCATTAAGGAGCAAAGCTTGGCATGGAAAGCTCATGAGCAGGCTCAAATATATCAATTTAGTAAAAATTTCCATTCTTTTTGTTCTTTGCTCTTCCGCTTTGGGATGTTCTGTTTAATTCTTCCAAGTTCTGTAGTTTTTTTCCTTTTGTGGCAAAAATTTTCCCAACTTTCTCACCAACCTTAACGAAGGGAATAAGAGTTAATTATATGTAATAATCCTTCCATCCCTAATTACTTGCCCCATGACCATTTGCACATGATTTTATGCAAGTGAATAAGCAGAGACAAGAAAAAAAGAGAGAGAAAGAGAAAGTGGGTGAGTATGGGACCCAGCTCAAGAAAAAGTAGAGAAAAAAATTCCTAAAAAGAGATGGGGCAAGTAAATTGAAACACCGCATAAAGGAAAATTGGGCAAGCAAAGTAGGACAAAGGAATGAATGCTCAAAGTATTAGCGAAGAGAGATTCATGAATATCATAGCTTAAAAGAAAAGTAGTAAATTGGATTTCATGATTTAGGCTCGAACTATTTTAGCTCGGAACTCAGCTCAGCATGTTATCACCCCTAGCTTTTAATCCCTTAATGTTCACCATGATTCCACCAAAAAAAATTGCAACAGTTGTATTACTCATATCCTCCCTAAACACTTGATTAAGTAGGATCTAATGGAGAATCCAACCATAAGATTTATAAACTATATGTAATTTAAAACATGAAACAACCTTATCCAGACATTCCAAACTAGCTTGACATGACAACTAGAGAATAATTAAAAACTCACTTCAATAGCTGCAAAAACAAAAGAAACAAAATACTTTATAGCAGCAAATTTCAACTACTGCAATGTTTCATACTAGCAGTCAAGAATAAAGATAGGCAGCCTCTCTGAAACAGATTGCCTTCAAGTTACCTTC